TTGTGACATTTGAGCTAAATTCAGCTCCAGTGTATGATAGTATTTTACTGAAAGTGTCACTAACTGCACCACTTACTCTGTCTTGATTTTAGACTATTTTTTTTAATAGAGGGAAAGATGATTGATAGAAGTAAGTGCCGTACACAAGTAGATGATAGGAAAAAAAAATTTGAAATCACTACTGTCATTAGAGATGTGTGAGTGCTAATGTGGTGCACGCAGTGAATGTAATTCTGTGCATGGCCAAATACATTTCTCAGTGGAACTTTCTCTTTGTTTTTCAGTGCTCCGGGATAGCAGCTCGATCTTATTTTGCTGTAAGCTCCCAGAGCACAACGTGGCATGACTGCTCCTGCTGGGTCCTGCCTGCAGCCCCCCCTCATGTGCAGCCTCTCCTCTCTGTGCAGCGTTCCTGCCCCTGCCGCTCCCGGTGGCCTGAATTCTGGCTGTGGCAGTCCTCTGCTAGGGCTAAAACTGGGGATGCCAGTTATTTATTTATGTAAAATGTTCGGAGGCATTAACTCACAAACACCATAGAAACTGGGCTGGTATTGTAGTCGGGGCTTTTATTCAGGTTGTCTGATGCGCTGTGGATGCCGCCTGCCTTTGTGTGCTCCAATCCAGCGTTTATCCCGACGATGCCTTTGTGTTCCCCATTTGACATATTTTACTGTAAATAAAGAGCGACACTGTCTTGCAGCTGTATCCACGGTGACATTTGACTCTCAACTGAATGAGTGCATTGTGCCGTGTGTTTTGGAAACATTATCTCTTTTAAGAACTAATCCAGCCTTTAACAGCTTCCCAGTGCCTGCCTGCCTTTGCCATGGAGAGCTCAGGTGCTCACCCACCTCCGTGCAGCCTCCGCCTGCTGCCTCCTGCCCCTCATGCTGCTGGAGCCTGAGCTGGGCACTGGCTCAGTCTTTTTGTCTGTGTGTAGACCCTTTGATGGGATGTGCTGCAGGGCTTCTCCCGGGATGTCAGCATTTTGCCACATATCTCACAGGCATTACGAGCATCTCTTATGTCCATGTGTGTGATATGTTCTTTAAGGTAGATTCTGTGCTCCATGATTAAGATGATCCCTGTGTGGCTGACTCATTGAGCATCCAGCTGATTGGTTCTATTATGTGTTGAAAACAGTTCTCTTTATGACTTCAGCAAGTTTAGATCCTGGTAGGGGCCACATTTCCTGCATCAGGCTCAGTCTCTTGGGTGCCAAACCCCAGGACCAGCAGGACTGAGATCCTCTGAAAACCCCAGCTTCCAGGAAGCTTTTATTTTTGCTTTCAAATAGCTGTGCTGCTTTTCTGCAACTTGTAATTTCAAGCTAATTCTGACACACTTTTAAAACAGTTGTGCCTATATATAGAAATGTGTATGTTTTTGCTCTCAGTGCTGAATGCCAGTAAATCCATGCGCCATTGAGATGCTGGTGGTACCACCTGCATTCCCCCACTGTAAGGCTGTGCCAGGGTTGAACAAGGTTGAACAACCTGAGCTAATGTTCTCTCAGCCTTAAACATAATCACTTTGAGAAAATGTAAGTCAAAGTGCAAATATTCTGGATGCTGTCTGCAAGGTGTGTATGGAATTAACATCCTGAGACAGTGCCATAGCATAAAGGCCCTCCAAAAAGAAGAGGGCTCCTTTTCACTACTGTGGGGGAGAGAGTCATCCTGAAAACATGGTCAAACTTCAAAACTTAGGCATGCTGTGCACACACACATTACAGTGGAACCCCACAAGGGTTTCAAGTGAGAAGTGTGGTACCCATAGTGGCCCAACAACCCAGTGAACAGGATGGTGCAAGATTGTATCTCAGGGAGCAGCTCTGCACTTTGTGCTTCCATTTAACTTCTCAGAGTAAGGAGAAAAGGCATCTGTGAGGAAACAAGGTTGATAATGGGTTCAAAATATATTTTTATTGTTTTCTCGTATTACCATATTTAAATTAAATTATTAAATGTATTTTCATTAAATTAGCAAACAAGCTGGTATTATTTGCCTTAGATATTTTAACAAAGTCTGTGAAGTCTTCCCCTGCTATTAGTGCTCCTGGAAGGTACGTGTGTTATGAAGTTCTGGAGCTGAGAACAGTGAAGGTGGCTGCACGCTGTGCTGCCCTGGGGCTGCAGGCACGGGCTGGCTCTGCTCGAGGGTCGCAGGACCACAGGGCGAGGGAAGCAACTGGGCTCCTGCCTACATGTGGAGGGGCTGCACACAGAGCCCGTGTGTCATGGCAGCCAGCAGCACAGCACCGGGCACGTGTCGAAGATCAGGAGGTCAGAGATGTGCTTACAGAGCAGGGCCTGGAGGCAGACTGTGTACTTTTGGGTTTGAAGATAATGGAGAGGGATGAATTAATAATCATATACATGTGTGCTACACTTAGAGCTGGATTTACACGTCTTTCATTTTTTAAAGCTCAGACTTTGTTTCCCACTCTTTAACATGATCTTTCTGCAGGCCCTGGCAGACAGCAGTGCTCCCAAGCGTACTGCTGCTTTGTGATGGTCCTGAGAGTGAACCTGAGTTATGTACAGCAGAGAGGCTCAGATGTCCTGACCATGCCTCCTCACCATTCAACAGCTGCTCCAAACAAAGTACAGGTTCACATCTGAACCTTCCCATTGGGTGTCCAGCAAGAGATAAGGAGGGAAATGCTTCCATTCATTTGTTTAAAAGAAAAACATTTAGATATTTTTAGTGAATTTTAAAAAGGAAGAAGTTGTAGAAATGCCCCATTAATTGGGCCATTCATTAAGTATTTTTAAAAAAGCATAGAAAATTTGGAGGCAAAGGTCTGGATAGCAAAGTGACTTGCAGTGGCAAAGGGCTTGGGAATTACTCGCCAAGTGGAACGTGTACAACTAAGGTTGAAATCCCCTCTTTGCGTGATCGCATGGGGATTTGAATGTGGGTCTTAGAACTCCTCCGAGAGTGCCCAACTGCTGGCACATTCTGGATGAGAATCTGTCCTGCTGAAGCTGTTCTGCTTTGTAAGAATAATTAAATATTCATTGGGCCAGTGAGAGAACAGAAACAATCTGATAGCCTGGGGATTAGGGCTCTCCAATAAGACGAGGAGACAGAAGTAATTCAGTTCCTGATCCAACTCTGATGCTGAACGGATATGAATCTACGGTCACATTGGCCAAATTTGCCAACGGTTCTGGTTACTTTTTTCAGGATATAAATATCTCAACTTTTTTTTCTGTCATCTCTTGTTGTGCCTTTACAGAAACTGGTATCACACCAGCTTTTGTACTGGTAGTCTCTTGACTAGAGTTACCCCTGTGTTTTATTGGCATCAGAATTGGGGCTGCAGCTCTTTGAAAATATGCCTTTCTTCTGGGTTGGCCCACAGCTTGATGTTAGTGCAGTGATGTAGAGGAAGTATATCTCAATTACAGTGGTGTTATAGGAAACATTTTTTACTGTATGTCCAATCTGTGGTGGTATTCTGGAGTCATACAGTAGGAGGAAATCTTTATTATAACATTAATAAGCGCAATAGTTTCTGTCAAGCTTTAAGAAAGCAGAAAATCACCACTAAACATCCATTCAAATCAGCTGCGCTAAATAATCCTTCAGATTCGTATGCTGAATTTCTTGATCAAACAACAAACTTATTCCTGAATTATCTGGATTCCTTGCAGTGTGAAAAGGTACATATTAAAAACAAAACCAAGAACTCAATGCAACCCAAGAACACAGGAAGATGTTTTCCAAGCGGAAATGGTTACCAGGAAGGTGATGCCTCCATGCAGCCCCCAGGTCAGGCCTGGCGCCGCTCTGTCTGCCCTGACCCCGCATTGGAGCACTTCTGCCGGGGGCTGTTTTCACAGCATCTGCAAAAAAAAAAAAAAAAAAAAAAAGTTCTATTCCACTGAAGACGTCTTTCTGTGAGCTGTGGGGATGCATGGCCATGCAGGTGCCCCGTGTGGGGCAGGCCCATGACCGGGGGGCCAGGGTGCCCAGGCAAGCGGCTCCTTGCACGGGGCAGCTGGTGATGAGCAGAGCGAGTGCCTTGCTCCTAAAGGCAGTAAGGATATTTAAACCAAACAAACCCGACATAAGTGGGAGAAGAAACTCACTGAGTGATTTCAACTGTAACCTGGCACCCGGCACGCTGTAGTATAAGAAGTTCAAAGCGTTTTGGATTTTTCCAGAAAAACCCTCTCCTAGCAGGGAGGCATGGGCCGTTCCGGCCCCCGCAAAGTTGAACACGTCGGGAAGGGCAAAGTAAATAAATCTTCGCCTCCCGCTCCCCCCGAGGCGGCGAGCGGGTGCCGGAAAAAGCCCGCAAACTTTTACCGCGGCCGCCGAGCCGGTGCTGGAGCCGCGGTGCTGGGCGGGGCGGTGCGATGCGGTGCGATGCGGCGCGATGCGGAGCGGTGCGGTGCGGCTCCGCGGGCGGCGGCGAGTCCGGTCCGCGGCGGCGGTCCGCGTTTTGCGGGCGGCCGCTGTATTTCCCGGGCCGTCCATGGCTCGGTGCTGTTGGCTCTCTCTCCGTCTGATCGGCGCAGGCTGCGCGGGGCTCCCTACGGGATCAGAGCGCTCCCCCGCCGGGACTCCACTCCTCACATCCTCCTGCTGGGACTCAGCTACATTTCCAGCCAAGCCTGGCTTTATTATGTGTGTCTGCACTGCAGCCCCAGCAGCAAGATCAGGAGGAGGAAAAGGAGCCAGGACAAAGAAAAGAGAGGGAGGCTGGCGAGAGCTAAAGAAAATAAAAACCCAGGGCAGCAGCGGCAGCAGCGGCAGCGATGAAGGCAGGAGCGGTGCCACCTTCCAGAGAATGACCCATGGAGGCAGCTAGCGGCCCCGGCATCGATGCGAAGGAGCGCTTACCTCGGTCCGCCGAGTGCGTGCGTGCGGGGGAAGGCGGCGGCGAGCGCGGCCGGCGGCGGGGAGCCCATCCCGGCCGAACCCCGCGCCGCGCACCCGGGGCAGCCGCGCCGCCGGCCCCGTGAGCGGCGAGCGGGGGCCGAGCCCGGGGGCGAGCGGCGGGACGCGAGGGGGGGCCGAGAGCGGCCGGGGAGGATTTAGGGAAACCGCGGCGAGGTCGCACCCCCGGAGCGCCTCGCATTGTCGGGGCCGCCGCGCCGCTCTTATTTTTAGACGCTCATTCTCCCCGCGCCCTCCCCCCGGCCCCGGGAGCCCCGCGCGGCTTTTTGTGCCATTCTCAAAGTGCCGAGCCGGACTGAGAGCCGCAGGGCGCCTGCAAACTTTAACGAGAACAAAAAGGCGGCGGGGGCGCGGAGGGGCTCGGCTTGTGGCGGTGCTATTTGCACATCGAAGGGAGGAGAAAAAACCAACAAAGAGGAGAAAAAAAAAAAAGAAAGAAAGAAAGAAAAAGAAATCGCAACTGTTGCGCCTGTGATTTTTTTTTTTTTTTTTTTGTCCCCGGGGGGAGAACCTCTAGGTGCCCGAGGGGGTGGACAGGAGTTGAACTTGCCGCATTGCAACAGGCAAAGAAGTGAGAAATCCGATAATCGATCCCGCTGCTGCCGCTGCTTCGCCTCGCTCAGCCCGGCAAAGTTTCGAGGGGCAGGAGGCAGGGTGAGGCAGGGCGGGCAGGGGCCGCGGGGCCGCGAGGAGGACGCGCCGGGAGGAGGACGAGCCGCGGCGCCCGGACATGTCCAGGAGGAAGCAAGCCAAGCCCCGCTCGGTGAAAGGTAAGCGCCCGCCGCCCCGCGCCGCCGGCCGGGCACCGCCGCCGCGCCAGCCTCCGCGCGCGGCCAATCAGGGCCGGGGCCCGGCTTGGCGGGGATTGCGAATCCCCCCCGACTCGGCCGCCGCCGCGGGCTCCGCCCGGCCCGGCCCGCGCCGCCGCCGCCGCCCGCCCCGGCCGCGGGGAGGAGGAGCGGCGCCGCCCGCGGGAAGCGGCTCCGGCCGGGCGCCGAGGGGAGGGGAGCGGCCGGGGGAGCCGCCCGCCGCCGCCGTCCATTTTGGGGGCTCCGCGCCCGGCCGCCGGGGCGGGGGCGGGCCGAGGGCCGCCCGGCGGGGCAGCGGCCGCGGAACCCGCCCGAAATGGCGGCCGGCGGTGCCCCCGGCCCCGAGCGGGGCTCTGCGGGCGTCGCGGGGGCGGGCGGAGCCGTCGTGCCCGGGGGCTGCGGGGGACAGCGCGGTTCGGGGCGCGGAGCCGACGCGCGGCCGGCGCTGGGGAGCGGCGTTCGGCCGTCAGAGCGCGGGGGAAGAAAAGTTTGGCGGCGGGGCCGGGAGCGGACCGACGGGCGGGGGAGCGGTGCCGCGGCCGGGGCCGAGACGAGCGGTTCCTCCGGGCTGCCAACGGCAGCGCCTCGTCCCTTCCCTCCCCCGCCCTACGCGTGTAACGGTGGCGAAGGAAAGGGAGAATTAAAACCGATTTCTTTATTCGAGAGCATCTGCAGGGCCGAAAACTTGCTCGGGCCGGGGGAACAATAGCCGGTTTCGGGCAGAGATGCGCTAATAGCGGCTCCGCACCCGAGTCGGCGGACAGGCTCCTGCCGGGCGCGGGCAGAGCGGCGGGGCCGTGCCGAGGCTGCGCCGGGGGCTTTGTGTGCGAGCACAAAAGGGCGCCGCTCCCGGGGCCGCGAAGCAAAAACTCGAAAGCGTTTGGAATTAAAGAACTCGCTGGGAGACGATGTTAGCGTCCGGTTAACCAACCAGCCAGAGGAAGAATCGAACCCCCTCTCCAGGGCGATTTTATATTATTTTTGAGATAAGCAGGTCAGGAGATTGCAGTAGAAACAGCGACGACTTCAAACGTCCATGAAGTTTTTGAAAAGTGAGCCCTTCCCCTCACACAAAAGCTCGCTCGCTGCCCCTCTCCCTCTCGGCCGGGGCCCTGCGGCCTCAGGCGCGGCTCCGCCGGTCGCGGCCCCCCTCGGCTCCCGGCTCGTCTCGGCGCAGGCCACGCGTTGCCCGGTCGCTCTCCGCGCCGAGGTGCCGCACGTAACGCGCAGGACGCAGCCATACGTCAGCGGAACCGTGTGCGCTCTGAAGCCCGGTTAATAAACATGAACACCTCGTTACATAATGACACGAGATATTTGCATTTGCTACTCGTTTGTTTGCCACCTCGTTACCTTTGGGCAGCATCTCTCACCGTTGATACTCTATAACGAAAAATCATCCCTAGCTCCAAGATAGAGCAGGTCGCTGTTTACAAGAGCTTTTTTCTTTTTCTTTTTTTCTTTTCTTTCTTTTTTTTTTTTTTTTGAATCAAAGCAGGTAACTTGCTGGCAAGTCACAGCTGGGAAATGTTTTCCATGCAACGCAGAAATATCTAGAATGTCTTTGCCACGGGGAGCCGGGTAGAGCCTGGTTCTTAAAGGTTCTGAATATTCCTCCAGTCTCCAGGCACAACAAATGTGCTTTCAGTTCAGCACAAACTGGCTGTAAATTACAGTCTTAGCATGAGCTGGCTAATGGGGAACCTAAGGAACAGGCTGAATCTGGGTGAAATTTTCAGTAATAGGAGGCAGCTCATATATATGTATGTAGGATATAGAATTCCTCCCTTTTCTTATGTTCATACATATCTTTTGCTTTCATAAAGTCCATCATATACATTTTGTGGTCTAGGGAGCTGGGAGCCCGGTAGATTGCCACAGTACATGTTTCCATGGAAATAATTGAGATGTAATAAATAAAGGCACTCTGAGGTCACAGGTTTCCCAATTCAGCTGAGAAGAAAACAAGCATAAATTATGTGGATATATGCGTAGCATTTAGGACTTCAAATCATTTACCGGTTTTCTCTTTTCTGTGCATTTATTTCACTTTGTGTAGTAACCTTGGTATTTATTAACCACTAGTGAGGTTTGGGCATCCTTTCTCATTCAGAAAGATTACATACTAAAATAGAATCAGCGTGCGCCTCTGATGAAAGGGATTATTCTGCATGCAAAAGGCAAGTTGCCTGTGCATTAACCACGAGTGCTGTCTTTGGCATTAAAGAAGCAACCGACTCTAATGGAAGTATGAAATGCCGACAACTCTTCAGATCCACGTAATTTAAAATTAAGCAATTGCCAAGCAGAACGGGATGCTGACAAACCTGCGGGTCATGTGGCCCTGCTCTGTTACGAGGTGTCTGGTTCAGTCTCACACAAAGTTGCTGTGATTGCTGCAGCTGGAACTCTAGCAGTAGCCCTGGAATTTCCCCGGTGTGGATTTATCACTGGCAACACAACACACTGGTTTTGTTTAACCATTACTTTGGTTGTGCAGACCTGACGACATCCAGCCGATGGTTTGGGCCAACGCTCTGCTGGGCTGACAGGGAGGTTGCTGTAGGTCAGTCGGGGCAGAGCAGAAGCAGGAGGGACTGAGCCTTTGTTAGCTTGCAAAATGAACCAGTTGGGGTGGTGTGATGGTGGCAGTTTTGGGGTAAAGCACTTGCCTTCTCTGAAGCCTTCCTTCACATCATAGGTGGGACCCATGGAAGTGTTTTTCCTCGGCACGGAAACTTCCTTTGCCCTGCTGTCAGCAACATGACCTGCTGGTGGCTTTGGCAGGTCTCCTTAAGAAGATCTGTACCCTTAGTGCCATTAAACACAGGAGGTTCAAGCCCCAGCACCACAACAGAGCGGTGACCGTCCCCATGCGCTGCCTGTTCCCATTCCGAGTGGTCCCATGGATGTGCCATGCACACTTCAGAGTCTGGTTGTGTGCCATCAGCTCTGGAGAGAGTTGATGGAACTGGAGCTGATGAGGCACAGACTGGTGCCTCTGAAAGCAGCTCTGGGAAAGCACAGCTGGGAGATGCTGGGGTCTGCTGGCAGAGCTGTAGGTTTCAAGTCCCACGTAATTGTAACTGAAGAATGACTTGGATTTGGTTTTGGGGACTGGGCTGGCATTGGCACAGGGTTTTCAGCATCACATGCATTTAGTTGCTGAATTTGACAGTTCTGCAAATTGCTGTCAGGTTGCAATGGTGTTTTGTGCTTAAGTGTGCTAGTCTGTAATCAAATTGTTTTGCAAAAGGGTGCACTAATTAAGTCTAGATTTGTTATCCTACTTGAAGTTGCAGAATTGCTGTCACATTTTTTTGCTTTTGGTTGGCAAAAATGCTGATAGAAACTTTTGATTCCCGCCCTACATGCCTCATTTATGTCAGTCAAGGAAGAAAAAGAAGGTTGTTCTCTACTTCGTTACCTGCAAAGTAAATAAAAATACTTCAGCCATTTGCTGAGTTCCAATTAGCTGATTGCTATGAATGATCTTCTTTAAAGGAATGCTGTTTTACCTATCTGCTCATACAAAGGTTTGATTTTTAATGTCTTGTGAAAAGGATTCTCTTTGTCTTGATTGATGTCAAGAATAAAAGCGTGATGGTAATATCCCTTTGAAAGCTATTGTATTGTCAGCTCTGGCTGACAGCAGGAGGCCCTCCTAGTGCTATAGATTAGCGCTGTGAAAACACTGACATTTTCTTTGTTATATTGCTGTTGTTCTGCTTGCAAAGTCAATTATACAATGTCGGAGCTCAGTTACAGAGTTGACTGTGGAAGTAACAATGTCTTTCATACTTGTCTTAAAGATATAATTTTCTTTTTTTCCCAGTTGATAGAGAAGAACCTGCAGGTACTGGAACAGTACATTCTACAAATTAAATTTTGACAAGTATAATCATAATTGCCAAATACAAGAGACTCGTGCGATTATCCTTTAATTTTACAGTTCATTCAAGTTTCGGTGAAATTTTATTGATACAGTGAAAGCAGCAGCTAAAATTGATAAAACTCATATCAAATAAGATTACACTCTTGATTGTTCTTTATCAAGTGTAGCTTTTGGGGGATTAGGAATAATTGGAGATGTTGGTGTTTCATCGTGGGGCTGGTGCCATGAGAACATTTGGATCCACGCAGTACAGCGAGCGCTGCCTTTGGGGATTAGCCTGCAGTTTTTAATTTTTGAGCGTGTATTTTGATACAAGCCCAGCAGCGTTCTCCCCTGAACTCCACAAGTCCCAATTTTCCTTCCGCTCTCTCCCTCCGGTACGGTTTCCTGGACAGGATCTGTGTGGTATTTAACTGGTTTTGCTGATTGAAACTCGTGCCTGTGTGCAAACACCTTTTAATTGTGGTCTGTTCCCATTGGTCCTGGCGAGCATAACTAACAAGTGTGTCCCAAAATTGAAAAGGGTGGAAGAGGCAACGCAAAAGGTTGAAATACAAATGGGGAGAAAATAGAAATCTTGTGATTTCAGTGATGGTTCATCTAATGCCACGGGTAGAAAAACAAACACCATGCAGCAGCACTGACTCTCAGAGACTGCCTCCCATTTTTTTTTTCTTCAAAAGTATCCGAGCAAAATCAGTGCAAGCTAAAGAACATCATTCATTACTGAATTGCTTCGGATGACACATGCAAAAAAAAGAATCAGAGAGCTCTTGTTTAGATGTTAATTGTAGGATTTCTAAATTACTATTATAAAATAATAGAGTAACAAAAGATTCCACAGTTACCAGTAATTTGTCAGGATTTATTTTGTTTTTCTTCAATAATTGAAAATTAATGTCTTGAAGTGAAAGCAGATGTTCATGCCATCCTCTGAATTGGATATAAAAATGATGTTTTGTAGAGGCGTTAGGCTTGTGTAAACACAAATTGTCTTATCTTAGTTGAGGCTTTGGCTTGGTTTTACCTATTGTTTGGTGCCAAATTAACTTTTATGTTAAACCTG